GACCCATACGCGTTTGGGTCGTTGGAAGTCTTCAAGTCGCGGCTCAGACAAACGTTTGAACCGCCTAGAGCTGAGTTCAGAGCTCGAACCGAACTCTTGAAGCTCAAGCAGGGTAAGCGTGATGTGCACGCTTACGCTCAACATATACGACATCTCACGAGTTGTATAAGTTCCAATCCGGTGGATGAACACACGTTGGTTTGGTGTTCATGCAGGGTCTTGCGGATGGTCCCGTCAAGACTCACCTGTTCCGGCTTGAACTAGATTCACTAGAACAAGCCATTTCAATTGCGGAGCAGGAAGACTTCAGTCTGAGACAGGCTCGCGCCAGCTCGACATCATATCGTCAACCGAGACGATATGACAACGGAGGTCCAGAGCCGATGGAACTCTGTTATGTAGAGAGCGAGAAGGCTCGCTCTACAGGCTACAAAAAGTTGCAGAGATGCAACAGATGTCAAAAGACAGGACACTACGCTTACGAGTGTAGTGCCCCTCGTCCAGTCTCGCGACACTGGGCGTAGTGACCGTCCACCCATGAGAAAGGGGCAGGGACGAGGGTCCGCAGTTGGTGCAAAGACGCAACAACGGGATGGACCGTCAAAAAACGGACAGGATCAGTAGGTGCGGAGCACCTCTGATCCAGCAACGTCAAGAGAATTTGTAGGCCTCTTGATGAAGGTTGCTCCCAACACACAGACATTGTGGTTGCTGCCTAGGTAATGAGATCTCACTCATTACCTTGAAACTCGAAGTGACGAATAAGTTGTCCCTTCGAGCTCTAGTCGATTGTGGGGCGTCCAACAATTTTGTGCGACGCCAATCGCTAGAAGATGGTCACTTTAAATTCAGTGAATGTGACACACCTCTACGAATGACGGTACTCTTGCGACAGGCGCATCCGTAACCTATGAACGTATAGTGAAGATTCACTATACGCTAGAAGATACCCAATACGACGATGACTTTATCGTATTGATTTGGATGACAAATTTGATGTCATCCTGGAATACCGTGGCTCAGAAGGTACGAACCACGGGTAAACTGGCAACATCGGACAGTAACGATCCTCCGCTTTTCATCAGATGGCCATCTGATGAACGTTTTGGACTCCACAAGCGTGTGGATGTACTACAGTGAGTGCATGGCCTCACTTGTGGTACGTCTTAGTACGACTGCACAAAACCTTAGTGTACCAAACGGTTACACTTCAGCAAAGTTCCGGCGGCTGTGAGAAACACAGGCTCGCCGAAGTCCACCACTCGAATAAGTCGAGTGGACCGGGACAAAGATGTATCCCTAGCGGGAACATCTAGAAGAGAAACAATCGATCGCTCAGGTTAAGCGAAACGATAATCCTAGATCGACTGGAGATCTTTCGTAGAATCTCGCTGTGGTTGCGCAACCCCAGCTAGAGAATAAAGGGAATAAGTCCCAAGATTACAAATACGGCGGAAATAAGTTCCCCGAAACCCGCGGGAATAAGTCCCCGGGAAGACGAAGGAATAAGTCCTTCGAAGCCTGAGGGAATAAGTCCCCAGGAAATGACAGAGACATTGAATGTCATAGTCAATAACGGATCATGTGTAGGCGCTTATACACTTGATCTGATTGCGCCTCCGAAGTTAACTTCGGAGATCACTCAGTTGCCAACGCTCGAACATAAAAGATTCTTGCGTGATCTGCGTAGTGGCAAAGTCAAGCAGATCTGCATACTCGTCCTGACGACGAGTATGTAACCGACATAAGGTCAGCAACAGTGTTTACTGAGAACGAGAGATTCTCAGTAGTTCATCTATGGACGAGTGTCCTAGATGAAAAGACACGAATTGAGCGATATGAGTCCCAATCATGGGAATCGCTCAAGGAAAATCCTCTCTATGAAGATTTGGTTGAATTCAAGGATGTATTCCCTGAAACTGTTCCGTGCGAATTACCGAAGGATAAAGGTATTCGACACGAAGTCGAGCTTAAACCAGGCTCGAAGTACTGTGTCATGAAGCAGTGGCCACTGCCTCGTGAACAGTACTTGCGATCGACAAGTTCTTTGCCGATCGTTTAGCAGCGGGCCATGTGAGGGAATCAACTTCCCCACATAGCTCTCCGACCTTCTGTGCGAAAAGCAACAGGAGGGTGGCGGATAGTGCACGCGTTTAACAAATTGAACGCTGCAACGGTACCGGCTCAGACGCCGATACCGAGGAAGGACGTAATTATTGATGGTATGTCAAAGAGTACCATCTTTTCGTCCATGGATTTGATGGATGGCTTCTATCAAATCCTAATGCGGAACGGATATACCCTATACCGCAGTTAGCACGCCTAGCGGCATGCTCTGGGAATGGCTAGTAATGCCACAAGGGCTCAGTAATGCCCCTGCCACGTTCAACAGGTGTATCACATCTGTTGAGGCCAGCACGAGAATTCGCGCCGAGTTATTTCGATGACGTATTCATCCATAGTCGAGCTATGGATGGAAAGTCGGACGTTGAGGTTCACAAGTACCACGTCCGACAAGTTCTTACAATCATGCAAAGCATCAATTGTATGCAAACCTCAAGAAGTGTATATTTGCAGCAAGCGAAATACCACTTCTTGGGTGCATCGTTGGTAAGAACGGTTACGTCCTGATCCCGAAAAGATCAAGGCGATCACCGACTGGCCCGTGCCGGTCGATGTCAAAGTCTTCGAAAATTCCTTTAGCGGCGTATTTGCATAAGTATTCACGCAATTACGCCGAGGTGACTGTACACCTCTCTGTTTTTGAAAAAGAACGAGAGGTGGTTATGGAACGCTGAATGTCAACGCCCTTTGAGGGTATCAAGCAGAGCTTGATACAATCCCCAGTCCTAGCAATAGCCGATCAGGACAGGCCATTTCATGTGGTCTGTGATGCCAGCGATTTCGCAATCGGCTGTGCATTAATGCAGTACGACCTTGAAGGCGTTGAACGCGTCGTCTGCTATCAGTCGCGTCAGCTGCAACCAGCTGAGCGGAACTATCCAGTCATGACAAGGAACTCCTTGCCATGAAGTATGCACTCGCGAAGTTCAGAGTCTATCTATTAGAGATAGACCCTTCGTTGTTTACACTGACCATGCGTCCTTACGCACGGCAGTGAACAGCCCCACCTTTCACAACGAATGGCGCGGTGGTTGTCATTCTTTGCAGAATACAACTTTACGGTCGAGTACAAACCAGGACGACTTAATGTCGTCGCTGATGCACTCTCACTCGTCCCGACTTTGAAACAGTCGCGAAACCCAACAGTGAGACAGTCACTGTTGCGGTTATGACGTCCTCAGTTCCATCTACAACGTTGTATGATGATGTGAGGCGGGCATACGCCCAAGATGGTGAGTTAGTGAAGTTGTTGTCACATCTCTCCCAACCATCTCGAGAATCGTTGAAACGATTGTCGTCTGCGTATCGATCTGCATCGGATCGATACACTACTCGTAACGGTTTACTGTACTATACAGCCGTTTCTGGTGACACACCACGTGTTGTCATTCCAGATGATACTGATCTGCGTTTGCGGATCATGTTCGAGTATCACGATGCTCCTATAGGAGGACATCGTGGCCGAGAGAAAACATATCTCACGGTAAGTCGAGACTTTTACTGGCCCCGCCAGTATCAGTTTGTGCGAAAGTATGTTCGCGCATGCGAAGTCTGCCAACGAGTGAAGTCAAGTCCTTCACTGCGTACCTTTACAGCCTCTACCGGTTCCGGCTGAGTGCTGGGAATCCATCTCAATGGATTTCGTCTTCGGGTTACCCAAAGACGCACGCGAGAATACGGGTATTCTCGTATTTGTTGACAGATTCAGCAAAATGGTACACCTTGTGGCCGTACCAGAGACAATCACGGCAAGTGGCTGTGCTTGTGTCTTTATTGACACCATCTTCCGACTTCATGGGTTGCCCCGTGAACTCGTATCAGACAGAGATCCACGATTCACTGCTGATTTCTGGCGTTCCGTGTTCAAATCACTCGGAACGCGCTTGAAGATGTCAACATCTGATCATCCAGAGTCAGATGGTCAGACGGAACGTGCCAATCGTGTCCTTGAAGAGATACTTCGAGGATACGTACACTCCTTTAAGAGTTGGAGTGAGTTTTTGCCGATGGTAGAGTTTGCCATCAACAACTCGGTGCATGCGTCCACGACATACACCGTTTTACGTGAATGGCTTGCGCCATCCGCGTACCCACCTTACTAGAGTGTAACTCTGGTTTAAGGGGGAGGGACTCGCGCGAGCAAAAACCGATTTGGTTCACGCTCATCACGCTCTGACAAAGAAGTCATTGCGTTTGATGCCGATATCGATAACATCGATATCGAAGAAGATGATGCCAGTGAGAGTGCGAAGCCCTCACTGAAGACAATGATCCCAGTGAGAGTGCGAGCCCTCACTGAAGAAAAGGTTGTTGTCGCTGCAGTGCGCTCACAGCACACTGAAGCTAACGAGTCATCAGATGAGTTCAGACTGGCTCTGAAACGGTAGTCCGTTTTGTGCAAGACTCCATCGCCGAAGCGGTGATAAGCAAAAGCAAAACCTGAAAAGAATGGAAGGGCAAACACTTTTTATTTAATAAAGGTGACTTAGTCCTACTGTCTACGGTTAATCTACCAAAGCATGTAGTGACTAACTTGGGTAGCAGTAAACTACTACCCAAGTACATCGGCCCATTTCGTGTATTGCACCGCCTAGGCAATGCATACACGATCGAGTTACCACGTAAGATGCGAACGCATCCCACGTTTTACGTTGGTCGGCTTAAGCCGTACCATCAGTAAGCTGCTTCTTCCGATGAAGAACGCCCTTGCGCTCAAGCATCTCGCAGAGAGCCTTGTGCTCCCGATGGTGGGCATCAACAAGGGTCTGAAGAGCAGTTATCTCATCCCGAGACCGATCAACAATCCCACGAGCTACCCTTAGCTCGTCACGAAGAGATGTCAGAGATCTCTCGTTCTCAAGCTGAGCAAAGCAAACTCAGCTCGATGCTTCGAGGCAGTGTCCACCATCTGAGACGCCTATTCCGCTCATGCTCGAGATCTCGCGTAACCCTTGCGTTACGCGATCAAAGAACTCTCGGGAACACACGATCCACATGATCGTGTGGAGAGCTCTTTCCTCCTCCTCCACCTCCATTAGAGGACTCTCGCGGTGGCCAGCGCTATCTAGTAGAGCAGCTGTTGAACCACCGCGACGTGAACGACGTCGGACGAGTTACCTCGTCCGGTGGCGCCTATCCCCGTCCTGGGATTCTTGGGAGCCCCGCTCCCAATTGATGGTTGACGTACTGGGTCTGGTCGAGCAGTACGACGCGACACTCCTGTGCCGCAGAAGGACCGCCGGAGAAAGTATTCCCGCACGGTCGTAAAGGGATTTCAGGTTGTCAATCCCTTCGTACATCTCAGTAGAGACACGTACGCCCACCACGGCTGGTAAGGAGGTAAGCCTCCTTAGGTGCTCTGCAGAGTTGTTCACACAACATGGGAGAGTCTCCCCAAGAGAGCAGGGTAACCTTTCTCCCTTGACAGACGATGCAGCTTGTAGCGTGCACCTGTCGGGTTCGCTTTTCAAACTTATCACGAGCTTTGATAAGTTTGTCGTTCCAACGTCACGACCTACATCCTCGAGATTATGAATGTAGGCGTTCCACGCCTGAAGTAGTGAGGACCATCACGTTTGTGATTCCCACTGTACCATCGATGTCTGAAGAAAGCATCGATGAAGAACTCATGTTCAGCGCGATAGTCTTTCGTGCTGGGGTCAAGGTGATGAATCCTTGACGAATCGAACAATCGTGTTCGATAACGATCACTCGTCGTCCCGACAAGTGATCCATGACGGATTTAGAGGCATCCATGCCTTCTTTTCTGGAGCAGACGCAACACATTGCGGTCCCGCTCTTCCTGCGACGTGCCGACGAGTACTGGCACTCGCTGTGAAGTGGTGTCCATTGAAAACGACACCACTATTAGCCCCGAGTCTCGCGACCTCGAGCCCTTCCTTCGGCGATGGTTCATCTGACTCATCAGATGAACCAAAGATGCTGCACGCAAAGTATCGTCCATCACCTTGGCAGGCGCTTGGATTCAATTGCGTCGATACGGATCCGTCATCCGTATCAGGAGAGTACGAGACACCGAGCTCGTACCTGTGAAGACACGGTGTCTTCATGACCAGCCCTGCATCACCAGGTGATACAGGCTGAGTCGATTCAGCAACCGATGGACATCAGTTGCTGTAGTTTCTGCTTCGGGTCCCACGATCAACCCTCTCGCTTGCTCCCATCGCTGGCTTGTTTACCATGCGATGAGATGTTGGAAAGTGGACCACCAACAGTGCAAACCCCGTCCCAAATGATTTGGGCGTATCCATTTAGTCAATCAGTCACTAAAGGACTGATGGTTAAGGGGTGATGTAACGGGGTGAATCGTTACATAACAATTTATAAGAAATTGTTAATAGAATATAACTATAAGAGTATATTCTCGAATATTGTCATAAGGACAATATTCTGTGCACTTCGAGTAGCCCTAATTGGTTGATATAGGCTTATATCAACCAACGAAGACACGACAGACCACCAATGAGGGTGAGCAGATAACTGATTTACACTTTGTATTTAGACATAGTTAGATGAAGATAAATAGTGATTTATTGCAGACATTAACTATTATAAATACAGTTCTACTTTTACTCTAACCGAGTACTCCTCTTCTTACGTCTTCCTCTGCCGTACGGTGTAGTGAGTTACGAGCACCCCTTTTCTGTCATCAGAATAGTAGCTTGACTGTCACCGTACAACTCGCTTACTTCTAGTCACAGGCAATACGTGCGTTGACGCAGTAGGAGGTTGATGAGATTCTGTCTATTGCTTGTCACTTGATCTCTCTTTTCCTGCCTTGCTAGATATCGCTCTGTACACGTTCCGCACCCATCTTCCAGCAAAACGGCTGACGCTGATCGCTTTGGTTCTGTCCTCTATTCCCACGTCAAAAACCGTCAGCGGCCGAAATGTCCTCTTTTTTTTCAGAGTGCCCTGGAACTTATCAGGATAATTCTCCAGAGGGCGCTTTGTCACTCGCAAAATAATCGCTATTTCTATATTTGTGAACTTATTAAACCTGATAATGCACAAAGGATCACATTCTGGCTTGGAGTCACATTTAATATTTAGTCTACTTGTGCTGCACGTATTGTATACGCATTGGTAAAAGAGAGTAATAGGCTGTCTTAGTACATTTACGGGTTACAAGATTGCTGAAAAGTCTCACGCCGCTCGAAAACCCCTACTAGTGTGCGAGCTGTCGTCCAGGGTCGTATTGAGAGAGATTTATGCCGCGCGGTCCTTCAGATCACCCTGGGGTGAACTGCGAGTACTCTGACTCAGTTTGAACTCCTTACAGGACCCGCACCCCTCATTACACTATGGGGCTTTTCGGCTTGCAGGGCCTCCGGACGGCACCGGCCACTCACTGGTGGTTGCTCGTCTACATTATTAGCTCATCTCCGGCGCCCTGTAATCGAACCCCCACCGGGTATCGATCCAGGTACCTCCCGGTACCAGTTCCAGCGGGCTACCACTCGGCCACTGGGGTCGGTCCAGGGTCGTGTTGAGTAAACGGTCTTGGATAAATCGGGGTGAAAAAGAGCTCTGTTGCTAGCCGGAAAAACACTGTCGTCCCCGTCGCGATTAAGCTGGTATTCCCTGACCACTACTGCTCGTATCTGTCAAAGCAGTGTTTGTAATACTTCGAGTTTCGCTTAGACAGAGATTAATCTCCTCGTGATTGTACACTCAGCCGTTTCGCTTTGCCCATAGGGTGGCGAAGCAGATAGAGCAAGCTAAGCACCAGAGTCTTACCCAATCCCTGCCGATCTCCCCCGCCGTGTCCAGAAACAGACGCACGATCTCCGTTTTGACGCCTAAATAAAGGTCTGGTGCTGTTCCAGTTAGCTCTGCTGCTTTGTACGCAAGTAATTGCTTTGACTGGACAACAATCTGAGTCCATTAAGCTGTAGTATACAACCAGCACGTTGCCGCTCCCTAACAGTATTAGACAGTTTGCAAAATCTTTTCATGCTATACTCGACACGCCACATTACGGGTGCATGATGTGTCGCGTGCTCGTCCCGGGTAGTCTAATTTTAACTGCTGTGTAGCGATCTGGTAGCAGACCCAGACCTGGTATTCGGTCAAAGCGTGTCGGTGAGCCCAGATCTGTGTCGGGGACTGTTAAGGTGGTTATCCCGCCCCGTCGGCCGCGTAAGCTTACTTGTAAAAACTTTATCCGACCTTAATCAGCGCTGGGTATGAATACAGTTTAAATCGCTGAAAGGATCACCGTTGCAAATCTCTAATGGCGTGTGTGTTACTGATGGGTAGGTTGAGATACCATGGAAATCGGTGCAGTTGCGGATGTGCTGAGAAAACAATTTCTTTTTTGGTATTCTGCTGGAAAGAGCGGAAAAACTCCAATTTGACGTGCATTAAATAGATTTCTATCCAATTACTGCATATCAGATGAAGAGCGCCATTTAGTAGGTCGCTAAGAACGAGCACAGAATCTGATGTTGGCAGCGCGGCCAGACGTGCGAGCGCTTAACTACGTGAGGCTTGGAGAGATCGAGTCATTGAACTCGATCTCATTCATCAAGTCCCCTTGCATTGCGGACAGTCCATCATCCGCAATCCCGGTCGCCGCGGCCTCATTTGCCTTCACTACGTCCGGGATGTCTTCGAGCAGTGTCTAACGTGGCTCCCACGAGTTACTATCAGCAGAGAAGCCAAGATAGAGAACGCGATACAGTCGTGTATTCACACGTTCGCAATGAGCGTTACAGCGACGATCGCCGTGAAGAGGAGACACCTTCAGGTTGCGGTGATCAGAAATACGATCCACGATTTAGCGTAGATTCCCAGTGCTGTCAACTAGTGGAGAAGGACCGTCGCGTGGAAACGAAACACGTGATTGCAGCGCTTGTGGAGAGGGCGATCGCCTTTTATGGGCGAGCAGCTCCACGACGTCGGACGTTGTGGTGACTTTGGTGACTCGGACCTTCACGAATCTCATGACCTGGCAGCGGAGGCGGACAGTTGTCACTGGCGACTAAGAAAACTGTCACCGAGCTTGCTCGGCGACTTGAGCGACTCGAGCAGTCAAACGTGGCGCCACGGCGAGGGAACGCGATCTTGAGAATTAAGCGTCCGCCTGATCCGCCGAGACCTCCGCGACATCGGGGGCCACGCTATGCGCCCCCTATACATCCACCTGCGTCGGAAGAAGCGACGGTCAGTATCGCTTAAGGTGCCCGGCATAAATGTCGGGTGTAGTCGCATAATTGTGGATATGACGAGCGTATAGGCATCACTCATAGTCTTAATCACCTGGAAAGGGCCAATAAACCTTAGCGCGAGTTTGCTTCCACCAACATTGGTAATAGCCGTGTCTTAAATGCCTGTTGTCGATAGTAGAACCTTGTCGCCAATAGTATTATTTTTAGATTGGTGCGACCGCGCTTGTCAGCGACCGCCTTCTGTCTATCTACAGCGTTTACAAATAGCGTCACTCACGAAACGCGAGACAAACTGACTTTGTTGGACAAACGGTTTGATGGCCGCCGAGTCAGCAAGACAATCGCTCGGTGGCGACGCGTCTGACCACGGGTCAAGCGTTGGTGACGCTTGTCGAGAGCGTCTACAATGGTCTGAACGGCTCTTGGAGTTGATTAAAGACTCGGTGATCCACTGAGTCGTGTCGTCGACTTCGAGTGGTCGATGATAAACTTGCGTGGATAAGAAGAGAATGTGAGCAGTGTTCACTGCTGTCTCGAAATCTGTTGATGTCAGTCCATCTGTGACAGACATAGTTGTAGGGTCGCCATTTTCAGATGGCGACGCCATCACTGCCGTATCTTAGTAAATGCCAGCTCATCTGCAGTGTCGCCACGGTCACAAGGTGGAGACGTCGTCGTTGGTGCACCGTCAGTCGATGTCAGCTCGTCTGATGTCCCTCCCCACAAAGAGTAGAGATATCAGGTAGACCAATAAGTATGGGGGATTGTGGGTGAAGGGCGTTGTTGACGAAGAAGGGTGTCAGCCCGGTCGACGCATGAACCGCGTTATACACAGCAAACTCAGTCATGAGGAGAAACAAACTCCATGACGTGAACGACGCGGCGTAACTGCATAGCACGTCTTCCAGTACGCGATTTGCACGCTCAGTCTGCTTTTATGTCTCGGGATAAGCAGTCATAGACATCAGAAGACGCGTGCCCAACAAAATTAAATAGATGTAACCAGAACGCAGCTGTAAAGCGAGGGTCCCGATTAAAGACAATCCTTAATGGCGGACAATGATGTCTGAAGACGATGTCGATGAACGACGTCTTTGTTTCCTCTGCGGTAATGAACATAGCGACAGGAGAAAGGTGCATCATCTTGCTGAAGCGGTCTACCATCACAAAAATGCCGATACGACCTTTCGCATCGGCGGGGAGACCACAGATAAATTTCCATACTGACCGAGTCCTATGCCTCAGTCGCCACTGGTAGAGATCACGATGGTGCTTAGGAAGATGAACTAGGATTGACACGCATACATACCTCGCATAAGCAAAACCGTTTGCGGACCCACTTATTCATGTGAGGCCAGTGAACGTGCAAGACAGGGACTGATACGTCTTCTCGCGACCCAAGTGGCCACTGGTCGCACCGTACTAGTGCTCGTGAATAACACGAGCACTTAAATCGTCGTCGAAAGGAACAAAGATGCGAGGAGAGTAAAACTGATCTATCTGGTACATGATCAAGTCGACGATGAGTGAGTAATGAGAAATCTGTTATCGAGACGACGCTTTGAGATCACGTAGCGTCACATCAGATGGATCACGACACTACCGAACGATCGGCGCGTAAAAGTCATCGTGGGTGTAAGCTGACGCAATGTCGACCCGAAGAGGGTTCACAAAAGTAACTCGCTTCGTATTCCCACCGAGTGCTACACCTTCAACGCATTCGTCGTTAGCATTACCCTCAAAAGCAAGAGTGATGACAGTAAAGCGTGGGTAATTATTAGGCCGACGCGTCGAAGCGTCCGCGAGGATGTTACTTAAACCAGGCTTGTAATTAACAGCGAAGTTGTATTTAGCGAAAAACGACAACAGTGCGCCATGCGCTGGCTGAAAAGGGGGCTCTTTTCGTCGTGCGCAATGAGGCATGGTCGGTATATAGTGCGAAGGTCTGCTTGCCGGGCAGGTATACGCGAAAATTGACGCGTGCATATCTTATGGTCAGCAGCTCCTAATTATGTACAGGATAAATGCGTTCCGCCAGCTTCAACTGGCGCTACTTATAGCTGTTAACTCGTTCAGTGCCTTTGCTGTCATGTTGCACGAGAGCATATCCAATCAGGAAATCAATGGCATCGCATACCACATAAATTGGTTTTGAGTGATAAGATAACGCCAACACTGGCGCTGTAGAAAGTTTTCTCTTGACCTTATAGAAATCATCTTGGTTTTCGCTGACGCCACGACCACGTGGCATCCTTCTTCAAAAGTTGAGACAATGGGTGATACAGCAGCAAAGTCATTGGCATAATGATGCAGGCAGGTGGCTAGGCCTAGCCATTCGCGAAGATATTTCTGCTCTTTTGGATCCTACTACGAACAGATCGTAGAGATCTTCTCCAGCTTAGCGCGAACCCCTATTCGCGCTGACGTAGCTACCGAGCACCGTTATTTTCGGTGCACAGAAGATGGATTTTTCAGGTTGGCGTAGAGCTTATTCTCACGCATCGCTTATATCAATATTGACAAAGGTGTCTGAGGTGAATCGCGACGTCGGTCGCGCCGGAAGAGGCGCGACTATGCAAAAAGATGTCTTCGCAGTAACTAGGAGCTAAGTCTCGAATTGGGCGCAACACACTCGACACCATTTGACTGAAGGTAGCAGAGGCGTTCTTGAGCCCCTGCAGCATCACGAGCCATTTCCACAGCATGACGCTAGGTGTGCTCACAGCAGTGAGAGTACTATCTTGAGGGCAAACCAAGATCTGATTAGAGTCGCTTGTGAGGTCCAAGAAGACAAGACGGTTTTTTCAGACAAGGTGTCGAGCTCCAAGTCTTTGCGAGAGATCGGAGTCTGGGCTATAATTGTCGCGTCGTTCAGCTTGTTGTAGGCGTGGACGATCCGCCATCCGCCTGTCGCTTTCTTGACGCAAAAAGTTGGGCTGGATGGGGTGAGTTGCTTGTGAGGTCCAAGAACCTGCTTGCTGACGTCCTTCGAAACTGACGTCAATTGCTTCAAATTGATCCAGTGGAAGTGGCTATTGGCGTGTGACAAAATACTTGGAACCGGGCACAAGGTCAATCTTGTGCCGTACGCCGCGATCAGCCGTTGAAACCGCTTAAAAAATGTCAGAAGAGACATCAGCGAACTCGCGCGCTAGCGCGAGGGCCTTTCTTTTGGGAGCGGCGAGATCTTTTAAAGATTGCGCTACGAAGCGCTCTTCGCGTGCCGATTTAGGTTCCATTCCTTCGGGGCGCTTGTAACGGGGTGAATCGTTACATAACAATTTATAAGAAATTGTTAATAGAATATAACTATAAGAGTTATATTCTCAGAATATTGTCATAAGGACAATATTCTGTAGCACTTCCAAGTAGTTCCTAATTGGTTGATATAGGCCATTATATCAACCAACGAAGACCGCCACGACAGACGCACCAATGAGTGGTGAGCAGATAACTGATTTACACATTTGTATTTAGACATAGTTAGATGAAGATAAATAGTGATTTATTGCAGACATTAACTATTATAAATACAGTTCTACTTTTACTCTAACCGAGTACTCGCTTCTTCTTACCGTCTTCCTCTGCACGTACGAGTGTACGTGAAGTTACGAGGCACCGCCTTATTCTGTCATCAGAATAAGTAGCTTGTACTGTCACCAGTACAAGCTTCAGGGTGCCCCGTTACACCTGGTAGCACTTCGTAGTCCGTCCAAGGACCGCGTTCACATCCAACATGAATATGTTGGATGATGAAGATGACCAAAGCTTTCACGCTACGCGTGACGCTACTCCCATTTGAGCGATTCGAATGGGATGCGGTTGAACGAATGGGTTCGACCATGGGCATCCATGCTGTTAGCGTCATGCTAGAGGCTCTCAATAGAGATGCCCAACATGCTACTATCGCCAATTCATTCAAAATGAACTTGACGCAGAACGCGAGAAAGTAGCCTTGCTTCACCAACAAGGTTCTCAACAAGCAGAGTTGTTGAGAGAACAAGGTGCTCAACAGTTTGAACTGTTGAGACAGCAGCACTACTGCTGGCGGGTCGATGTACTCGCGTCGGCCCGAGACTTTGAAGATTGACATCTCAAAGTATAGGGGGTCGAAGAAGACTCCCTCTTGAGATGGTTCGTCGAATTGGATGACCCATAAGGGCGCTCGCATCGACGACGGGGATATGCAGTTGCATTTGCCCAGTCAAATCTGGCAGGACGTGCCAAGACTTGGGCACTGGGGCTCGCTGCACGACCCATATGCGTTTGGGTCGTTGGAGTCTTCAAGTGCGGCTCAGACAAACGTTTGAACCGCCTAGAGCTGAGTTCAGAGCTCGAACCGAACTCTTGAAGCTCAAGCAGGGTAAGCTGATGTGCACGCTTACGCTCAACATATACACATCTCACGAGTTGTATAAGTTCCAATCCGTGGATGAACCACGTTGTTTCGTTTCATGCAGTCTTGATGGTCCGTCAAGACTACTTTGTTGAACTAGTTCACTAGAACAACTTTCAATTGCGGAGCAGGAGACTTCAGTCTGAGACAGGCTCGCGCCAGCTCGACATCATATCTCAACCGAGACGATATGACAACGGAGGTCCAGAGCCGATGGAACTCTCTATGTAGAGAGCGAGGCTCTCTCTACAGGCTACAAGAAGTTGCAGATGCAACAGATCCAAAAGACAGGACCTACCTTACAGTGTATCCCCTCTCAGTTCTCGACCTGGCTAGTGACCTCCACCCTGAAAAGGGGCAGGGACGAGGTCCAGTTTAAAGACCAACAACGGATGGACCTCAAAAAACGGACAGATCTAGGTGCACCCTCTTCAACTCAAGAGAATTTGTAGGTCTTGATGAAGTTGTCCAACACACAGAATTTTTTAGGTAATGAGACTCTAT